ACTTGGTCATCATTCATGGACTTGATCAAACATTTGCTTTTTCAAAGGAGAGTATTTGTTGCTAAAAACAATTTAATAGCATTGTTTTCTGGTGAAACAAAACGAACTTGAAGACGATACCTTGGGCCTGAAGACTTTTTGACTGGCAAGTTGCACTTCTGACATTTCATCCACACATATAAGTTGCTGTAGTTGATTTTTAATATAAATAATCAGTTGTATTCTCTTAGTTTTGGCCCTGGTTGGGGGGCATATAACCATGTAGAAAGACGATAAAGTACCACTACCAGATATTAATTTATGCTTTTTCTATTTATTATGTTTGTTTTGACAATAGCGTTTGACCATTAGTGTAGGCAGCAGGTGCTTAGGCAAGCTATTGCTATGGAAATGCTATGAAATGTGACAAATGATTCTTAGCGTTTCCAACAGTACTGTCATTAACTTCCTATTGCTGTCCACAGCTAAAGTTAAATTATGTAAAAACTTTATGCAAAATAAAAAAATAATTTGATTGTATTGTTTTTAGCCAGATTGTGTTGATTAAATTGAATAATTCCATATTGAGTTTTCTTTTACAAATTAGTCCAATTAATCGACACTTCAAAGGAACTATATTGGAATTGTAGGATTTCTTATTAATTTGTGCAAAAACTTTTTTTAAATACTAAGCCCAGGGACCATATGTCCCATAGTTGCACATTTAATGAATGAGTTAAAATTCACATCCACTACTCTGCCTCTTAAAAATTAAACATCCAGATGGAAGGAACGTAACAAGCTAATTTAGTTTTCAGGACTAACGGTACGTCCACATGGCAGCGTCACCCCATTCAAAGTGAATGGGAAGCGTCTCCGTTGAAGCACGAGACGCTGCCGTGTGGACGTACCGTAACACCTGAACAATGCAATTTGCTATGCTTGAATCTCAAACTACTACTTCACACCTGGACTCTAGCTCACACTTAATTGTTCTGTTTTGTGCCACTATCAGGCAGGCTAAGCTTTTTTTAAATCCACTTTTTTTTTAATATTTAATCATTTAATATATATATTTACTTGCCACCACACATAACCTTTTTGGTGAGGCTCATAAATGAATTTGACAGCAAGCACAACCATAAACATTTAATCCTGGAGCAGTGGAATTTGAGTTTCAAAGTGTGTCAACCTAGACCTACTTCCATAATGTTTTAAACATGTCCTGTGCACTGAGAGAACTTCCTCCGCCAGAGAAATCATAAGGGACGACTTGAGGAGAAATAGAAAGAGAAAGATCGAGTAAAACATGTTTTTGCTGTCCCTTTCATACATAATCATTGAGGCTGTGAATACTGAAGCACTTTAGCTGCAGGGCTGAAAAGCTAGAGGGTGTTCATCATACTAGTCATATGGTAGATTGCATGTACAGAAATCAAACTCAATAGACTTCATAACCCATTATTGACTCAGTGTTTTCATATTTTGTCGTAATGCCTTTGCCTGAAGAAAACCCTGCACATATTCCCGTTAATGTAGTCAGGGCACTCTGCATCTGCACATTCTTGGCAGCTGCTCAATTAGTAATGATAAATCAGCGCACACACACCCCCTCAAATGAAACCACGATTCAAGGACATCAGAAACCCAGCTGGCAGGGTCAGACACAGAGAGATGAACTTATTGTAAGAGAATATTTTAATCTGATCTTGATTATAGAGTTTCTTATTGTTTCTTAGAATCTGTGATACTGCAAACATCTGTTTGTAAGTATCAGTCAAAAACTCCTCTGTAGGCTGAGGTCACAGGTCAAAAGCTTCTCCCATGTCCTGTGGGGGAAGGGTCCAGGCCTGTCTGCATTTCCTTAAGACAAGTAGATTATTGTCTCCCATCTGCTATTGATTAGGTAAACGCGGGCTTCTGTGGGCCCGCCTCTCCTCATGTTGCTGCGTGTTGGGGCTATTCGGGGGCAGAGATGATTTTGGTGGACCACAGGACAGTGTGAAACTAAGTGATCTCCCCGGCCGTATTTGTTTGTATTGTGTTCAATAAACTCTCAGTGCTTTGGCTAACGACGTTCCAGACTCCTTCATTCTACCTCAACATTGCAACAACAGAAGTTTATCTTCACACTTATAACTTGCGACAAAGTTATTTACATAATGGTGTGTCGATTTTACATCAGGTAATGTACTGCCTGCCCCTCAGGGTCAATCAGATGTAGTAAACAACAGTGACTGCAGAGGCGTTGTCAAATTATTTGTATTCAAACCAAGGAGTTTAGATTTGTCTCTATTATTAGGTTTTTGGAAAAGTTGATGACCAACTGCACTAATGAGAGTTGGTAGAAAAAACTGCTTAAATAATTGTGGATGTTTCTTTACATTTTACACTTATTATGTCAGCTGCTTAAGCTCTATCGTGACTATAGCAAGAATCTTACAAGAATCTTTCATCTTTCAAGAGAGAAAAAACGTTGCCTCAGAAAAGCTCCTAAAAAAAATCTGCATGATTTTGAGGAAAGTTGTAGAAAATAAATGAGGAAGCCACAGGGGTTCTTAATTCACCTTTTATATTATTTAAGGTGGCTCACATCAGACAAATCGGGGGAAAAGAGGCATTGAATAAAATGAGGAAGTCATAGAAAACCTTACGAGGATAATCTCTGTGACAGAAGGCCTCCTCTTAACATTTGATCTTTGGTCATTTGTCTGATTTCAAGGTATTAAACTCAAATGTGTGTCAGTGGAGAATCTGATTGTCTCCGCCACGCTACAACTGTCAGAGCATATTATTTTAATAGTAAGGGCAAGCCAATTGCTCCAATGTAAAGCCCTCTTTTCTGACTGCTGACAGGACTGTTGATCACAGATGTCTTTCACTTGATTCTCAGCTGTGATGCTCATTACGTATCCTGTTGGAATAGCAGCAGTAGAAACCAAAGACTAAACGTGTCTTGATTCATTTAAAGGCGTTTGATCCAGACCACACAACAGAGTTAAGAATGTTATGAATGTGAGCATCTTACTTTGCATGAACAAAAAAAATCAAAGGTATGTACCGGTGAGAATGCCAAATCATTGGTTCAAAATATTTAATGTCGGATAACCAAATAGTAAAGTATGTTATTTAGTACTATTAATTATATGAAAAGGCCAATGTTAAAATCATTGTCATTTGATAAACTAGAATTTGGAGTGGCATGCTGATACATGCCACTCAATTATTATTAAAGGAATAATTGATCCATTAGCCTTATTTTAGCTTGTTTTCATTCACTACTGCTTACAATTTTTGGGGGTTTTTCCATTTACTTTCAGAATTTTAAAAATACTTTTTGCACTTTACATTAATACTTTTAACTTTAGGCTATTTTAGGTGTCTATTCGAGTCTTCATCCATTAAGTCGTTATAGCCACCTACTACTTACTCGGCCTCAGAAAAGAGTATAAACTCTCAAGCAGTGTGATTTTTTTCTCTGGCAGAAAGCACAGCAGTTCATTAGCCTTATCTCTGTTAAATTTGCCCACCATGGAACAGCATGGGGAAATCAACCCTGGAATCCATCGAAGTTGGGCTTGGCAGGATTTGGTTGTTCATTAATTACATTTCGTAATGAGTATTTCTGTTGAACATGATTATTACACTGTTGGGATAATGGCTGTGTATTTCATTGCAACACACAAATATCAAACCCAGTCCATTGCTAATGTCATTGGGTGAAACATTCAATCCAGCTTTTAGGGTTTTGAAAATAAATGTTCTTTCTCCTTGAAACATAGGGGCTCTGGGAATATCTATTAAGCTCTTAATTGATTGCAAACTCACGGTCTGAGTCACATCGCAATCTCTTCAGCTCTCTCTCACCCTGTTCCTCTGTACAGTGCATGTATGTACGGATGTGGATGGTTTTGTGGAGGGTGAAGAGCAATAACTAGGGATGTGTGTGGCGCAGTGGATAGAGCCTTGGTGTTGGAATCAGGGGGTCACAGGTTCAAACTCCACTGCAGTCAGCATGTCGTTGTGTCCTGAGCAAGACACTTCACCCCAAATTGCTCCTGTGGGGATTGTCCACAGTATTGATTATGTAAGTCGCTTTGGATAAAAGTCTAATAACATGTAATGTAACTTAATGATTACACCAAGAAGATTATAAATAAGCCCAGTGAGTATACAAGGACACACACAAAATAGAGGTTTGAACAGACTTGTGTCTTTGAAAAGGATGAACAAATAAAAGGCAAGCATTAAAAGTGAGAAGAAGGTAGATTTTCAAAGTGAAAGAGGGAAGAAAAGGATGTAAAAAATGTGTACCCACTTTCACGTCCACTGAAGCTTAAGAAGTTATATAAAACGTTCCCTTAAATCCTGTAAGTCTTCTTCCCTCCTAACTGACCGATAACCATGGATTTTTTCATTTTAATGTGCTTTGTTATTTTAATATAAAATTGATTTGTTCGGGTGTTGAGTTGCTTTCCATTGCCTTCGCAGTAGAAGGCCAAAAGATGTATGTGAATAGAGAAAACTTGATTTGCTTGATGAATACACTCCTTTGTTTACTGCTAGTGCAAATCACTGTTGTCACTATTGATCAATATGTCATCATAATTATTGGTTATATAAAACAACTTGTTCATCATAAGCTGCTAACTTTATTTGTCTGATTAATAACAGATAAACAGTGGAATTATATTGCCTTCTGATGTTGCTTACATAAGTACGATGCTTAGAAATGTTTTATTGTATAATATCTGAACTGACCTTCCCTTAGCCCATGTTTGTGTCTTTTGTTTGAGCTGGTTGAAACTAGCTCTCACCAAACAACCATGTAACATTTATATTATCGCTTCAGGGAAAATGCTCCTGGCCGGTTTTTCCAAAAATCACAAAGTGTTCCTTTCTGTTTCTCTCTATACAATGTGTGTCGACCTTGGGCCAAGTGTTCATTTTACTGCAGACTTTTTCTGAGGTGCATTTGGTTTATTATTTTCTCTTCTTTAATAAATATATAAAACTTTTTGTTCATTTTTACTTTATTGTAGATTTCCACAACATGTTGTAATTTCCAGACAGGAATAAATGGACAAAACGTGTGCAACCAATCTGAAATGGCAGATGGAAAATTGTGTAAAATAAACAGCATATTATAATATTATGATATTTTATTTGTTGCAGTGTTTATGCTTGGCTTCATGCGTTCAGTCTGCAGCTTAAAACAAACTAGATCTGACAGAATAGTCTTTGCATTGTACATTAGGCAAAAGCTTAGCTAATTGTCCCTTTTAGGCCGTATAATTTAACAGTTTTCCATTTTCATTCAGCTTTTTTAATCTATTGCATAAAACTTGGTTTGCATGTAGAATCTAGAAACAGGTTTTAATGACCTTTATGGATTGCTAAAGATAAAATAGTGGCAACTATCTATTGTTATTTCATGCAATGATAATCAGCCTGTATGTAAGATGCCTGTCAGAAAGAACTACTAAATATGAGCCCGGTCAAGCTGGAAAACAAACAAAATATTGAGAGATGTTAAGGATGCTCAGTGGTGCAGACAGGCAAAGTTGGCAATTTAATGGAATTGTGCATCCTCAAAATGTGACATGCTTTTCTAGTATGGGGTGGCAGACTGATCTGTGGGTGGCAAAATGAACTTTTGTCATAGTCGTTCACAGTTGATTTCACAGTCAATAGAGTCAGTGAAGTCTTTATTTCCACAACACTAGCCCTGTGCCCTCACACTCTTTTATTCGTTTAAGCGTAAAAAAAAACATGATTTAGTTTTTTGCTCAGACACACCGAAGATGTTGTCGCTGTGTATTAGTGGTGAGCGCTAGCTGATGTGCCCCTTCAAAGTGTTTGTAGACATCTTAAAAATTGTAATAGTTCACAATGAATTATTAACAGATCATGAATCACACTTTGTTTTAGGATGTTTTGCTGCTATGATAGCTGTTGTACATGCTGCAGGTTTGCACACACTGTTTTTGCTGAAATCTCTGTTTTTCTCTGTTTAATATTTCCAAGTTGTTTGTCAGAGAATACTCATTTTTCTGATACTTAGCTTAATGCTTCTCAGGGGCACAGGGGGCATCAACCTATCCCAGCTTATGAGGCCGGGAGACATTGTGCCCGGCCTGTTTACACTGACACATTAACACCTACAACAAATGTAGAAACCATCCCTATTGCCACTGTTTACTCACTGCAGCCCCATTTCATTAAAGCTTTATCTGATCTCTGATCTGATCAAGGTGATTTGGCTTATGCATTGTACAGAAGTGTGCCTCTCACAGGGCTCCCAGTGATCCAGCTTCAGGCGATATAGCCAGGCCAGTCGGTTTTGCAGGCCAGCATGAGGTCTGCTGCAGAGTGCTGGAGCCACTCGTGCTCTGATGATGATGCGGACATGGCTCACCGGGGGACTGATCCATGAGCCAAGCCCCTCACTGCCCCTGGTGAGACACCCGGGGGCCAGGCCGAGGCAGCTCTGTGAATCACAGAACGGTGAAATGAAAAGAACGTACTTGATGCTGTAGTCGATACAGCTTTCATACCTTATTATTAGTTGACATGTTACTTGTCATGCTGTTGTCTCCCTGAATTCTTCAATTAGCATGCGAGAGTTGCTCCGGAGCTTTGGGGCTCCATTCGAGGTATATGTCTCCATCTCTCTGCTTCTCTCCAGAGAGGTTACCTATAGCTTTGAAGGTACAAAAACAAAATGCATCGCGGGGTGCCCTTTGACCAAGCAGCCCATTTCTGGCTTCATACAGATTCATGCTGTTATTTTTCCTCAGCTTAGAGTTACTGCTAGATAGATCAGTAGACTAGAATATAACCACTGGAAACAAAGACAATGTTGACCTTTATGAATAGTTGTGTGTAGAGGTGTGCAATTATAACATACAGATTGGGCAACCACACAATCAGATGCAATTATAAAACAGCGTCGGAGCCTGTAGATATTGCCATTCCATTAAACAAAACTATATTGACCAGACATTTTTTCTACTTCTTTGTTATGCTTCGCCTTCAATTTGTCGCAGTTGTGCAATTACCTTCTTTGTATTTTGAAAATCATTATGTGTGTACTGTACAACGTTGACCCCCTACTATACAGTAGGAAACCGAAGAATTCAAGGTGTATCCGAGCAACTCGAGCCTATACCTTTATTTTTAATATGAAGGAACGTTGTGAATGCAACAATACTTGGCTATTACGGTACTTACAATTCACAGTTGTCAGCCCCTATTTACACCAAGGCCACTGAGAGGAACAGACGTTTTTCATCTGAAGCATTTTACGAAAGGTCTGACTTGCTGCCAGTATTACAGATTAAAATGAACGTGTTCCTCTGTTAACGGTTTTGAGGCTAGAAGAACGTATAAACAATTTTTCAAAAAGTAAAATAAATTGCCACTTCAGCCAGTGAAAAGGTATAAATAATATGTCCCTAATATTCTTCATGTATATTTATTTGTTGGTTTTACCTCAAATCAAGTTCATGGAATTGAAACACTGCCAAATGTTACCGTCTAATGAAAGCAAGGATGATAGTTTATAATACCAACCCTTTACTTGCATACACGAAAAACATAAAGGTTGTTGATTTTTTGTTTTAACAGATTTACAGAGATCATCGAGTCCGTTCACAGCAGTGAAATGTTTTTTTCAGCCTAAATGAACAGAAGTATTGTATTCGGGACTTGCATTTGGCTGGAAATGCATTACTTGTGAAACTTGCGGACTTATTTATATGCTTAAAAGCCCCTGTGGCTGAACATAGTGTACTCATACTGTAAGTGGGAAAAACAAGGCGACATCTACACATTTTGAACACAGAACAGAAAGTGCACTAAAGTAGAAAAGCTCAATATCACCTGTCGTGAAATGTTGAAAAAAAAACACATTTTCTAGGCAGAAATATAGATATAGACAAATGGCAATCAGGGTTGACTGCTTTGCAAAGAAAAACCATAAAGTAAGAAGATGAATTATGTTATTACTTTTTCTTACATTAATACATTTTGTATCATTACATTTGATAGAGATTTATTTGTGTAAATGTATTAGCTGAATGCAATAGGTTTAAGGAATTGACTGTTACTGTAAGATATCCTATTGGTTATTGTTACTGATTTATTTGGCTTATGCTCAGATCTAAGAATTACATGCCACAAGAAAACAAATGTTATAAAACATAAAAAATGCCTGGTGGCAAGTCGGATTATTTAATGTTGTTGTTATTGTATAATTACTTTGAACCATTGCCTCTGTTTGCTCTGATGAAGGCATACACACTGAGCTTTAATTAATCATTACGCTGTTGTGAAATATTGAAGGTCAAGGGTCAAGGTAAACATGTCATTTGGCAAAGCTATTAAAGGAAGAAATATCAAACCCGCAAAATACCACCTGAAATGCTTATAAATACTTAACATGTAGGCTGTGTGGAACTTGGAGAATGCGTTAATGAGAACATTAAGGTCAAGTGTATTAATGATACTCCCATACCTTATTAATGTTTAAATGAAAAGTATTAACACATCACAATTGATCATAATTAGGTGTCTTTGTCTTACAAAGCCACAGCTTCAATGCTTTGTCCTTCCCCACAGCTTCAATGCTCTTTCCTGTCTCTCTTCACCTGTGTTTTTGTGCCTGACACACCTGGAGGAATGTAGGCCACACACACACACACACACACACACACACACACACACACACACACACACACACAGCAAGTATGAACATCACATTCCTACTCGAAACTGTTTGTGCTTACTGTACACACTTTCACATCGTGTGCCACTATTAAAACAGAGCTAGAGTTCAGAAATATATGATAATTCAGTGAATTTGAAGTTGCAATGCTGGGAACACATAGCGCCATCAACAATCTCTTAAGATGCTCCTTGATAATGAATGGGAGTATAATGCTACAGTATTTTAGCCAATGGGTATTATCAAACACTATGCAGGAAATGCACTTAATTTGAAGCGGTTTTCTGGCAAAAACATTTCTATAAAAATATGCTTCATTATGATGTGTGTCACTGAAAGGTTTCTCAGTGCCGACCATGGTGCCGACTAAAGAACACGAAGAACAAGTTTGGGTGGGCTCTCTCCGTGGGTTCGCTTCATTAAGTGCAACGTGCAGTCCGGTTTAACAGATACGTCAGTCGTTGAAGACAAGAAGAAAATAAAAGGCTGACTTCTCACGTAATTTGAAAACGATAATGTAAGTAAAGAGAAAAATATTGAATGATGGCAGTCTTCATACCTGTGTTTTTCACACCGTTCCGCCCACCAGTCGTATTTCGGGACACTCAGGTTTACGTAAACAAACGCACCCCACTGCGCATCACGGATATGACGTCAGCGCGCTGCAATTCAAACTTCAGGAAACGAAAACGTTTGGTTAGAAAACGGTCTTGTTGTTACTGACTAGTTTTACTGGATATCTTCACTTCGCTTCATATGTAAGTGTATTTTCTCATGTATTACTCACCGCCAGTAATGTTGGCTTTAATGTGTTTGTTATCAAATACACAGCGTGAAATTAAAACGATGTAACGATAGTTTATTAAAAGCTTTCAACTAAAGACAGGTGCGAGGATGTGTGTTACGTTCAGGCACTGTCAGTTTCATTGTCGAGTAATCTGTGTTATTGATGTTTAATTTAAATATACATTAATGTCCATAAAAGGGGATACATGTTGGTGAAATGTGCTTGTAAATGAATGTAAAAACCAACGTCTATTTACTTGAAAGACTCCAACTATGATTTAGTGACAAATATGTTTATTTTTCTCCCAATTTACACTACTGATCTGTATACTTTAATATCATTGATAAAGTTTAATATACACTCTGTCAGTTAATTTGGGATATTTTACAAGGGTGTTTCCATTCAGTTGTATTATTTGTTATCCAAATGATTTCAGGCAATATAATACATCCGGTGCATTTTACTTCAGTCTGTAAAATGTATTTTTTCCTTTTTAGAAGTCCAGGTAACTTCCTTACCACCTAACAAAGAAGCCATGTCTAAAGGAGCCAAAGAGACCATCGTCACCAGGTTGGGCTTCAAATCCAGCAGCTCTGCTTCCAAGGCTGAGGCAGAGCTGGAGAAAGTCAGGAAGGAGAACGCTCACCTCAGGAGAAAGATTGATGAACTGGCCAAACGACACATCAAACCCCCTGACTCAGACAAAAGCAAGCTGCTGGAGGTAAATACATGTGTATTTGTAAGGTGTATTGAGGGATTTAAATTCAGGAATCTCTTCATGTCTATCTGTTTCCCTTGTTTTGTATTTTAATGTTTACATTTCCTTCATGTCATTCCAGAGGATCCTGTCCCTTGAGACGCTGCGAGAGAGAAACAATCAGCAGTTGCTTGTTAAAGAGCAGGATCTAGACACAATGAGACGGCAGCTGTCAGCTAAAGGAGGAGAAGTATGTACACATGACTCGTCTTCTGCACAAATGTAGGGTTACACAAACCCAATGTATCAGTATATCTATACATCTGAAAGCATGGACTCACAGAAAGACTGATTTGGAAATGCTGAGTAATTCTGCCAATGTTGAAGAGATATACCTAGAGCTGTGTCTTTGAGACTGCTCCCCAAGTGGTAAAGATGTGCTGCACTTTCGGCATTGTATTGCTGGTATATGTATTGCTGGTGTATGTATTGCTGGCAGCTGACAACTGTCAGGAAAAAAAATATCATGCTCCCACTGAGCTGTCATAAAACACAGTTGGGGGGGAAATAGCTTCAATCCCATATCTGACAGCAGCTCAACTAAGCGACGTTTAGACAGCCAGCAAAAGATGCATACTAACATATGCTGTTCACTTGATATTTATAAACCAGCTTTCTCCCACTGTTATGCCTCTGTGTTCATGACGCAGCCGGATACATTGATGCTAATCATTGTGAAATCTCTTTCTATTGTTGAAGAAATCATTTATTAATTTAGGCTACCTGCGAGGCGATTCAGGCTAAAACTTGGAAATTGCATGCTGGTAAATGGATTATGAGCTGCTGTTTATACCACATATTTTTGAATGTTTTATTCAATTAAATCACATTTGCTTCTTTCTCAACAAAAGTGCTAAAACCTGCTCAGTGGCCAATACCAGCAGAGTGCCAGCCATGTAATGCCATTTGTGTGACGCAGATAATTGATTTGGTAAATGCAAATATGTACCTGCATAAACAAAGAAATAACAGGTTGATGTGTAGACTAGTCGAGGTGTTGTTTATTCACATTGTTGTGTATTTCAGGTTGTGGCATCCCTGCAGGCCCAGCTGGAGCAGCGGAGGAAGGAGGCTGATCAGAGAGACATGATGTTCCACAGTTTGTCACAGGAGACGGGGAACCTGAAAAACCAGCTGACCACCGTTTCTGCCCGCTGCCAGTCCCTGGAAACACAGGCGACGGTAGGTTGACCACCTAATTGACCCTATACCTGTCTAGATGTTCTCATTAGTTAGGAAGGTTGTCAGTGCCACATAAGCAATTATCTTATTGGGGTAGTGTACCTTCCTAATCATAGAGTTGTATTTAAAATGTAGCTGTCTGGCTACTTTTTACTGGTACAGGTCATGAATAGAGTTAATGGGGTTATTAGGGTTGCTAATTAAAAAGTCCTTATTCAGTAACTTAAGTTATTGAAAATTACCCTATGGATTTATTAAAAAACAGTAAAAAAAGAATTGGACAAACGTACAACTCTGTCCTGTGCCTCCAATTCCCAAATAATCTTAACACCCCCCCCCCCCCTTCTTATCTACAGTGTAAATGCAGCAGAGATATTGTTTTCACATTACTTTTTTTCACATGACAATAAACATTTTAGTGATTAATTAACATTAGCTCGAGCAAGTGTCAGAACAGAAATCGGTTTTCAAAGGAACAAATAAATATATAAGTTGATCATAATCGTTGTGGTATTTGTTTGCCTCTGTTCAGAATTCTTAATACACATGACATCTATTTTGATCAGTAGCTAGTGCACCTTAGATTTGTGTAATTTAATGTTATTGTTATATAATTCTTCAGTGACTACTGCATCAGGGGTCGTTTATTTTGAAATGCAAATGCAGTTATATCCCCGTCCACTAGGTGGCACTGTGTGACCTTTCATTGTTTTCCTCAGCTGCTGTCTTTACCTTGATTGATTGATTGATTGAAAAGTGTATTAACAGCTTGTATATTGGGTACAGTACAGTACAGCTCAAAACATACAATTGTTAAGGGGATGCAGACCAGAGAAAGACTTTCGTCTTGTTTACATCAGGGTCCCCCATTTCCAATTCATCATGTCATTTAAGACATATTTGACATACAGATGGCTTATTTACAATTTACATACAGGTGGTTTTTTACATACAGATGGCTTGTTTACAATTTTCATTTTAGATTTCGTTCTAATACATCCTAACCAGACATTTAAGACATACCAAGTCTACAGATATACAGTTAGTAACAGAGTCTAAAATGCGAGTATACATAGATGGGGGGGGGGGGGGGGGGAAGCTGTCCATTGTACGACAGGTTGAGATTTGTACCATTACCGGGGCCAGTTTTGCAATGCTCTCCCCCGAAGGTGCTCTTTAAGAGAGGTTTTGAAGGTAAGTATAGTTTTACTTTCCTTTACAGTTGTGGGAAGAGCGTTCCACCTTGATGTGGCATAATTGCGAAACGTGTATTCCCCCTTTTTTGTGACAAATCTGGGTTTCACATGATTTGTGGAGCTCCCTCTGGTGTTATGATCATGGTATTCCTTGACCTTTGGGAAGAATTTTGACATGTACATGGGTACCATAGAGGTGTAGTGGATCTTGTAGACCAGGCCCATTGCAAGTAGCTGTACTCTGTCGTCTACTCTAAGCCATCCTAGGTTGTCAAAGTGGGCAGAGGTGAGGTGGGTTCTAGATGAAAGGTCAAGCAGTAGTCTGACCAGTTTATTTTGCGATGTTTGAAGTTTTATTTTTAGCGCCTTGGAGGTGCTATGGTACCATGACGTGCAAGCATAGTCATAGTACCCTTGAATGAGTGCTCCTGCCAGAGTTTTCAGGGTGTTCTTGTTTACCAGAGAGGAGATCCGGTATAGGAATCTAGTTCTTTGATTGACTTTTTTTATTACATTGGATGCCATTTTGTCACAGGAGAGGTTTGCCTCAAGAATAGATCCTAGGTATGTAATTTCCTTCTTACTTGTGACAATAATGTCGCCCACTGCAACTGAGAAGTCGTCGGATTTGCTGAGATTATGTTTCGAACCGAAGAGAATGGACTCTGTTTTACCCAGGTGTAATGATAATTTATTATTCTCTCCGGAGAATATCCGTAATGAAAGATAAAGCTCTGATAATAGAAGACCAAAAAGGAAATATTGTGAATATAAATACACATGTCAGTCCATGGTTGTCCTTCTCAGCCATCCATACCCGTACAATAACACATTGTAGTGAAAGAGAAGGATTATTTAATATACCAGTGGTTGCCACACAATTATAGGATTTCCTTCCATTTAAAAAGCAGCTGTGATTCCTCTTCAGCCCTTTGATGCTTTGAGCACAGCGGGCCTTCACTACACTCTCACAGAGCCATCCTCTGTGTTCTACTTTGCTTCTTTACAGCAAAAGGAAGCTTAATCGCAATAATTCAGGAAGTCGGGTGGCTGAGTACTCAGGGATCAGAGTCAAAACAACTTGGAATTTATTTAAACTAAGCTAAATATCATGATTTTTGACCCAGTTTTTCTAAGAGTGGTGCTTCTGCATAATGTCCCTATTTTAATTAAACCTCAAAATGCATTAAGAGCTCTTATTATTACCCTGTGCTCCACATCCTACGAAATCAGTTAAACCCTTCATGGTAAAAGCCAACTACTAAGCCCATTCATCATTCATATTTATTAACAATCAAAACCAACTAATATAGTTCCTGTTGTTACAGTATTGTTTAAAATGTGTCTATAAGAGTGGGAGGATGTGAAGAAAGAAAGAAAAGAGGAGATTTTAACAAGAAAAATATGCAGTTATTTTCCCTTCTTGCTTTTGTTTTTCCACCCAAAGGTCACAACAGTGCTGGAAAATACCTTCTTTGAATCTAAATGTTCTCACATGGTCCGCACTTTTAGTCTCAAGGTTGAAAAGTATTAAAAGGCAGCGTGTTATGTATATAAATGGATGTCTTCTTAATAATGCTCCAGGATCTTTCTGACCCCCCGGCTTAGCTTCTTCAGCATTACTTGACATAATCTGACCGGCAGACCCTGACCCAACCCTTCCTCCTTCCTCCCTTCT